ACACACACACACACACACACACACACACACACACACACACACACACACACACACACACACACAAAGCATGCATTCACAAACAAAACAGACATGCGTAGAAAAGCACCCACACAAATTCACGATCCCATACCTCAGTGTACACAGTGAAGCTTTTAAGTATAACGTTGCTGATCTCAACACAGTCTGCTACAGTGTCAAACTGCAGGGGGACAATAAAATAAACATTTAGGGTTTTGACGGTAAATATATAAAACAGTCTTACTGTGGGACGGTGGGGGAGCAGCACAGAGCTGGAGTGATGTTTAGAGCACAACTCAGGACAGGGCCTCTGTGAGAGAGAGAGGAAGAGAGACAGAGAGAGAGACGGAGAGAGATAGAGATAGGAAGAGAGAGAGAACAGACAGAGAAGGGGGGGAGAGAGAGAGACGGAGAGAGAGAGAGAGAAAGAGACAGGGAGAGAAAGAGAGAGAGAGAGAGCGAAAGAAAGAAAGAGAGGAGAAAGGAGGAGAGACCGAAAAGACATACAGTATATAAAAGAAACAATTATGATTTTTTGAAAAATATGTGGGAGAAAATTAAATAGAGGAGTAGTAAGACTGGAATGGAAGGAGGTAAAAGGAAAATGTTTGAAAGTAAATGAATAAAGCAATGAATCAACCAGTGGATAAAGGTGTTATTGGTAGTTATTGGTAAAGAGTGATCCCGGAGATATACGGGGATGATGTCTCTACTTAGAACAAACTCAAATATATTGGATAAAATGTTCCCATATCTAAAATGCTTTTTTCACCGGCATAATAAAACAGCTGTATAAACCTCTTTCAGGGTTGGATTTATGTAAAAACATCAAACAAATGAAAACCTTAGTTTCAGGGTTTTTTACTGCTATGTTTATGTTACACAACTCCTTGTGTAGGAAAGATTTAACAAGGACATACAAGCATGTAAAAATACTGGTAAAACTGAACCTGTCCACTCCCTGGTATCACAGAACCTCATCTCTATTCAAAGAGCAGCTTTCCAGTAACAGTTGTTGTTGCAGCCCCCTCTGGTGGAGCAACAATTAAGACACAGCTGCTCTTGCAAAGACATGCTTTTCAAAAATGTGTACAATCTGCAGAAAAAAAGTGTTTTGATTGAGTTACCTAACGAGTTCAAGAAATCAAACAAAAATACTTGCGTCTCGTTTCCCCCTCTGTTTTACCTCCCCTAGCTTTTCTTCTGCTTTTACCTCTTTGTAAACCCGACTACCTCTCTCTGTCTCTCTTACAGCAATCTGCCCTTTCAATCATCTCGTTGTACGAGTGCCTTGATTCTCTGCTCCTCTCACCATGTACGTCTCTCCCGCAGCCTTCCGGGTCTTCTGCAGCATGACCAGCGGGGGGCGCTCTCTGGCTGATGGATTCTTCCTCAGGGCTCTAAAGGGGAGAAAAACCATCCACCCCCTTTTGTTCTCGTTCTTCTTTGGATTAAGCAGTTTTTTACAGAGTGTGTGTTGCGCTTTGTAAAGACAAGTTATGCTCAGTTTGATGCCTTAGTGCAGTTAAATATTACCCAGTGCAGAGAAACCGAGAGGAAGAACTTCTATTCTATTGGATTTATGCCGTAAAGCTTTTCCACGCTGCATATAGCATTAGAGTACCTTTGTAGTACTAGGCCCAACAGTATTGCTAGCAGAAATAGACCAAGCAGGGCTAACAACAAGATGAACCACAGCTCAGAGTAAACCGGCGTTGCTGACATGCTGATGCCCTCTTTACCCATGTCTTCAGGCTCAGGAGGACCTGCAGAAAAAGATAAATAAGTTATGAGTTTAACTATATGATTCATTCCATGTACTGTTTGTGTATTTATTGTATTCATTTTGAATTACCGTACTCTGCCTATGTATTATACTGTATATGACTTGACAACATTTTTAACAAGACATAATGGCAATAAAGTTTCACTTAATTAAAATATGGAAGAGGATGTGAGGGACAGATAAAAACAGATTCCTTAGTCGCTGAGGAAAATCCAGATTCAGGTCCGATTTTACCTGAGGACCGATTCCAGCAATGTGTGCGTGTGTGTGTGTGCGTGTGTGTGTGTGTGTGCGTGTGTGCGTGCGTGTGCGTGTGCGTGTACGTTACCTAGGCCTGTTGCAGGGCTATATCTGATGGTGGGAGTACTGGCGCTGCCACTGTTTGTGGTACAAGTCACCTGAAATGACAGAGCTAAGGGACGAGCGAGAGAGAGAAAAAAAGCGCGTATCAATCTATGTTCCCACCTGGTGAAATGTGTAAGTAGATATGTATATGTGTGTGTGTTCTCACTTTTCTGTGAGGTGCGTGGAATATGGAGATCGCTATAGAAACCAGTATAGACCCTCAGCTGGCTCTCTGTCACACTAAACTCCTTCAGGTACCCATTGAGGGAGAAGGACCCCGTCCAGTCCAGCCAAATAACTGTCAGGTTGCTGTCCACCGGGAAAGGAGACACATACTGTGGGGCTGGAGGGGGAGAGAGAAACTTTGGTTGTGTGGTTATGTGTCTTAAGACGGCTTGGCTGGGAGAGTTGAGGGATTGGACACGTGTTACCTTCACTGAGAGTTGTAACAGTAGTCCAGTTGGAGGCAGTGCTGCCCATGTTGTTGAAGCAGGCAGCTCTCAGCTGATAGGTGGAGTATGGCTGGAGACCTGCACAGATTAGCACAAAATACATAACACAGACAACAACACTATGCCAGTACCTCTCTAAATCTTTTGATTAGCGGTTATCCTTCTTTGAAGATGGCTTGCAGTCTATTTCAGTTTAGCTCAATTATTCTTATTTACATCTGTCACCTGCCTCCTTGTCACGGCTTGCTTAACACTTTATTGTTCTCCAAATGCTTTATTATCAATGGGTCACTCACTACTGGGATTTTTGAACTTATTAAATATGTTATTATGGTCATTGTTCCTCTTTCTTGTTCCAGTTTTGGTGCTGATGCAAATATAACTTTTCCTGTAAAACGTGCCAGGACAACTTAGTGTTGTGTATTTTAAAAACATCTTGATTTGACATAATCACGGAGTGACCTGTCACATTGTAGCTCCTCCTTTTGCCAAAGAAAGAGATTTCTATTGGCCCTTCAATGCAAGGGAGGGGTACAGGCTGGGGAGGCTGCGGGCAAGGTGATCTGAGATGTAGTTCACAGCTGGAAACAGAGAGAAAGAAAGAGAGGAAGGAAGTGAGCGAGAGTGAAATTATGGTATGTGTATCTGCTCATGCCTTCTGTCTCACTCATTCATGTAATCTGATTGCTAACAGTTTTTTTTTAACTTCAGTATTTTGAAAATACATTGAACAATGTGCACTTTATGTGTTTTCTACCGACCTCTCAATAACTCCATTAGGTGCCAGAGGCTCGTCCCATTCCAGCTGCACAGAGCGGGAGGTCAGTTTGAGGGGGCGAGGAGGAGGCTGCTGGACCGGGGGGGCTGCCAGGGTGTGGAGCTCACTCAGTGGACCCTGGCTGCAGCACTGTCAAATGTTCAAAACAGACTGTTCACAAATTTATTGTATTTCTGAGTGAACGAGTACTGTGTCGTCTCAGAATTCATAGAATAACTATAAACACAATATATAAACATTTAACTCAGGGAGTTGTTTTGCAATCAAAAGAGTAACACTAGTACCTCTGTTCAAGGATTTTACTGTAAGAATATCACAATAATCTAAGGCAAGCCGGAAAAAACTAAAGTGAAACTACTAATGCAACATGGTGACTGTAACAATCTCATGTAATTTGGCCTGCCAAACAATACAATCTCCAGATCAGTGATAGTACAACTGGTGAATATCTTTTCTTTACAAAAGACTATTTCAAAGCAAAGCTAAGTAGATTATCCTCCAATCAATTCACTGTATCTATAAATCAGTCACACCAGACTGAATCTGTGATCTCACTTTCATGACAAAGTGTAGCTGTTATGTACATATTCATATTACTATTACCTGGTAACAGGTGCAGGCTTCTACTCCTACCCAGTACTGAGTGTAAGGACGTAAACCATGGAGTGTCTGCTGATGGGATGTACCCTCTGAGAGCTACAGGAAGGGGAAAGAAAGAGGGTGAGATATGTTTATATTTTGGGTAGTCATATAAGTGAAAAGCAAATATTGGGTCAGGATGAAGAATTCAAAATAGGAAAGAGAGGAGGGAATATGTGTGAGTGATCACAGAAAAGGGTAGAAAAAGAGGGCTGGAGAGAAAATAAATCCAACTGAGGAACTCAGGTTCTTACGAGGGGAATGTTAAATGCAGTATTATACTTTACCAGAGTGTGGTTGTTGTGGTTCACTGAGAACACTCTGTAAAGGCTAACAATGCCATTGGGTCGGGCTGGAGGATTGATGTTCACTAGTGCTGAGGTTGCTGATACACGCAGGAAAATAGGTGGGCCTACACCCTCAGGTGGGGCAGGTCCTGTTCGCCCATTGACCCACGGACTGGCAGAATGACCGGCCGAATTCACTGCCCACACCTGTCGGACAAAACCACATATAAGTCAATAATATCATGAAATTCAATTCACATGTATAATTGACGGTCAATCATAGAAGGACATCTGAGACAAAGTGAGAGCCAGACAACTTTTTTCTCCAGTCATTGGGATTTTAGATGCATTTTATTAACTCTTAATTACCCAGTATCCACCACACCACCAGAAGGATATAAGTCAATGCATTGGACCATCCATCAAAACTACCATCAGCAGTGAGAGCAAAACCTTTTCAACATGCAACCCAACACCAACATATCTGCATGACAATTACTTTTCACCTTCATCAAGGAGTTATTCTCACACACACACACACACACACACACACACACACACTAACTAATCTTATTTGTGTGCTTGTGTTGGGTATAATTAGAGGGTGTACACAGCACAGGGTCAGGCAGGGTGGAGATTTGCATGTGTAAGTCATCTGTAGCCTGTCAGAAGTAGTGCAGAAGGCAGATGGATGGGTCTGAGCTTTACTGGTGAAAGTGTCTGTGTGTGTGTGTCTGTGTGTGTGTGTGTGTGTGTGTGAGATGTGTTGTTTGTAGCTGTGATGACGAGTTTTGTGCGTGTATGCTTGTGCATGCAAGTGTGTTAAGAGTTGAATTAACCTCAATAATAGTCAATTAGGCCGTGATCAATCAGACTGATTGATCTAAGTGACAGCACAGATGGACTGAGATGGGAGAGGGGAAGGAAGAATGGAAGATGGAGAGACTGGGAATGGGGAGGAGGAGGAGGACAGGAGGAAGGGTGGATAAAGCACAAAGAGAGGAAGCAGGAGAGATTTTGAGCTTGATTTTGTGGCTCCAAACGTACCTGGTTGGATATAGTGATCGGTTTAGTTCTGGAGATAAGATTGTTTTTTTCTTAGTAGGAGTTGCATCATTGTGTGCATGCAAAGGCATCCATTTTAAGTCACTTATTAAAATCACGTCATACAAACAACATTTTAGTGTCTGATCCATTAAACTCAAAAAGGGAAAGACACATCTGTCCTTGAACGCGTTTTAGGGGTAATGTGTATTATTTTTTCGTGACTCGACTGGTTTCCTACCTGGACTTGCCCACTGGCCCATCAAACTGTCTGTTGCTTTTAAAGGGGATGAGAGGATCTGATGTGATTGGTCATTGTTGTGGCCCACACCAACTCGACCAGCGCATGCTGCACTTCTCCTGATTCCCTGCTCCATTCTCTTCTTACTTGTGACACATATTTGTGCTGCACCTTGTTTGTGTTTCAACCCAAAATCTCAATGAAATTACCAACTGGTTCATTAGTGGTGCATTCAGACTGACAGCAACCTTTGAGCAAAAACACTGCAAGGGTCTGCATTGATGTAGGTTGTGTTGGCTATAGGGTGCTATTAGGAAGAAGAAATACGTGAAGTCCTGTTTGAAGGGTTACCAGCCATACACAAAGACGACACACTGCATTTATTCTTCTTTGAGGCAGGATTTTAAAACTCTATGGACTTATTATAACTGTAATAGCAAAGTTCATCCAATCTTAAAAACACATGTTGCAAGGTGTTCTACATGGTATCAATGATGACTGTATGTCACTTGCAGAGTGCAGGAGAGCTCAAAAGGTGAAGTTCAGGAAAAAGGATTTTTCTGAGATCAACAAGCTTGGATAATAATCAAATGTAGTTATACAGAAAATTGAGACTGCAACTTAACCTCAGCTGAGAGCATTTTTGATATACTATGTTACAACATTTTCACAACACTAATGAAGTAGAAGTCTTCTCTGAAAATAATATTCTAAAAGAATAAAAAAAGAGATAGAATGACAAATTGAATTTATATAGCTTCTAAATAACAGTTTTTATTTCTTCTGAATGTGTCTGTATGTTAGCATGTTATGTAATTATGCCAACAATGTCTTGATTGTACCTTTAATTGTAACATTGATAACTTGGGATCAACAAGCTATTTCTGCATTGTAATCACATTTGCAGCCTGATATTAATGCGACGGAAAACGTAGAAAGGACACAACATGTCTGGTTAAAAAGCCCGAAAGAAAAAGGTGAAAGAAAAAGTTTTGTGTTACATGTGTAGTTTCAACTCAGGAACTGTGGCTTGACTTGTTGCTGCAAAGATTTTCCAATTACATTTGCTCCTGCCTTCACATAACATTATAACTGGAGCAATAAAATATATCTACCCAGCAACAACCATGTTCTTCCCCTAGTAGCAACACAGTTAAAGCCTCAACGTGACGCAAAGCTTTTGGGCTTGATTAAGAACTTTGTGCCACATCGACAAAACGAAGAGAAAAAGTTCAAAACTAAAGTCAGTCCAGATCACCTTGCCCTTGATCCACTGCTAAAAGGTAGAACTCATCTCGTCCTTATATCATCTACAGACTTTTTACTGCTTTCTCTCGTCTCTTGTCCTCTCTCCTCCTATTGGGCTGTGGTTTGGCTTATTAGACACAAAATAAAAATATACCCCGTTAGCTGCCATGGCAGCAAATGTGCCGCCATGGCAACAAACGACTTCAGGAAGCTACCAGCGAGTATTTGAGGATTTTTATTGGACGGTCAGACTGCGGACTTAATTCAAGCGCTCCAATAGGCCAACGGAGCTACTTGGCGGGTGCATCTACTTGGGGTGAAGGGGGTAAGTTGTGTGAAAGTGGGCAGTAATTAAAACCAAGCATAAAGCTGTCAATAGGAGCTTATGACCTACTGTAATTAGCCTAATATGATTTCTCTCTCTGCACTGTGGTGCGCTAAACTGAACTGACTTATCGTCCTTGTGTACGCCTGAAACACAGACAGAAAGGATGAGAGTCAGATAGGTACATAGAGAGATTAACAGCTAAATAAAAATAAAGCAAGGGAGATAGAAAGACAGACATGTGGGTTGATAAAAGGATTGACTAAAAGATTGGTAGATCAACAGGCAGAAAATATAGCTTATTGTTGAAGATTGAGAGGAATGACAAAAATGCATACAGTATCTTTGCTTCTCTGTCTGTGACACTCACATATGTTTACATGCACACAGAAACAAACACACAGAGTACTACTGTGTGCACGGACATCACACACATACCACCACCTTGTCCACGTACCCCACTGACAAATCCTCAGGGGACGTGTAGCGGTCACCATTAAAAGGTCTTTCCAATACAAGCTCTGTTACCAAGGGGGCTAACAGTTAATTCGATTGGCTGGCTGGTAATCAGGAAGTGGGGTGCTCTGAGGGCCCAGTGATTAATGGCTCTGTTGCCCGCTCGTCATCTCCCAAAGCTCCTCCCTCCCTCCCTCCTCCTGTCATAAATTAGGGCCTCGTAAATAAAGACGGCACCGCAATCAGGCAAACTCAATCAATTACACAGGTTCTCTGGCCTCAGCTCGTACATCTGACAGGCAGGAATGCTAATGTTATTGTTGCTTCCAAAGGGCTAGCCTGTCAATTAGTGTGCTGCACAACAGCATGAATATGGACCCCACCATTTAACACCTGTCGGATTACCTGGCTGTGTGTGGATGTCTGTGTATGCTGGAGTGTATGGATAGACCGTATCAGTCGAGGTGTGTGCGCGATATCTGTGTCTGTGTGCGTGACTGGACTTTTGGAGAACATTTCATTGTGAAAGAAGGCCACATCCTCTGATGATCACAACAGGTCTAGACTCAAAAGGAAGTTCACAGATCACAATAAAACATTTAACTCTGTTTCTACATTCACTGCAGAGAACAAGACGTTTTTATAAATCTGTATATACAGGACCCATTAAGACTTTTGCTGTTAATTATTATTTTCAGTTGCCCTTCAGCTTTAGGATTTAATCCTATTTTCTTGAAGAAATACATCTTTTCTACTTGTTTTTCAAGATAAATAATGTCTGTAAAACGTTGATTTATCCTGTTTAATACAAATAAGAAAGGCAGTTAAATACCTCAAGGTTGCATCATAAAATCCAGGTCAAGTTTGAGTTTATAGTGACTACACAAGGACTGGTTCCCATTTCCTCTCAGATCTGGATAAATATTAGTTCAGTCAGTTGAAGTTTACCAAGACTAACCAGTTAGCATTTGTGTTATACTCAAAACAAAACAACACACACACACAAACACATTTAAATGCACAAAGCATTGTACCTGGTACTGGTACACAGTATACGGCTTGAGTGCTTCATCTTTGCAAGTAGTAGAGATATTCCTGTAAACAAGTGTTGCTGCATCACGTCTGTGGATATCAGTGGTATGGTCCAGTCTGCGGTACACCTCGTAATGGAGGACTCTACCATTGGGCTCAGCTGGAGGGGACCAGGTGAGCAGAAAGGTGGTCTGCAGGCCTGTGTGCGTGTCAGGCTGAAGGTCTAACAGTGGCGCTGTTTGTCCAGCAGGGGGAGCGTCCAGAGTGAGTACAGATGCCCAGTCACTGGAGGAGCAGCCCAGCGCAGTGCATGCCTCCACCCTCACTTCATACCTACACACACATATTAGCATGTTTTTAAATGCAATCATTAGTGAGGTTTGTGTACTGTGTAAGAGACCATTGTGGGGAAAGAACACAAGACACTTTTGACCATGGATACCAGTGTACTGCGAGTACAGTTTACACAAGACTTAAATCTGATAAAACTCCACTGACAATCAGCTAAGAACCTTGCAAATCAGCAACTATTTTAGTTTTAATTTTTGAGATGTCCAGAAAGTCCACCATATTTTTCCCAGTTTCAAACCATCAAAGACAGAATTACAGTCCAGTGGAGCAGTGGTCCAATCAAAAATCACGCAATTAACATGTTTGAAATGTCTGTCTGCACCGTATGTCAATTGAGCCTTACCAGACTACAACAAGACAACCAACATCATGAGGTAACTACTTTGGAAGATGATAAAGAGGAGTGAGGGAGAGAAATACAGAGAGAGGGTGATGAAGATCAGTTGAATGGATAGTAGAAGGTCATCAGAGAGAGGGGGAGCGATCTTTAGATGATAAGGCTGATGAGCTTTTATCATCTGAATCTTATCAACACATACACACGCCCACACATAAACAGCCACACCTTCAAGCACACATGTACACACATGAATAGACACACACAACAGCACATGCATATGCACCCTCACACACAGAGCAATATATAGTCTTTGGTCTACACTCCTGTCTTTTTCTGAGAGAGTTAGATGCATGGCCACGGCATCAAAGTTGACTACCTTTTACTTTTTTAAAATGAGGGCAATTAATCTGTCGATTATTTTCTTGATTAATCGATAGTTGTTTGGTCTCTAAATCTAATCTCAGAAAATGGTGAAAAATGACGACTAGTGTTTCCAAAAGCCCAATATGACATCATCAAATGTCTCGTTTTGTCCACAACTCAAAGATATCAAATTTACTGTGACAGAGGAGTAAAGAAACCAGAAAATGTTCACTTTTAAAAAGCTGGAATCAGAATTTCACCAGCTGTTTTGAAAGATGCATTGACTGATTTTTTTTAAAGAAAATGAAGGTTATTAACTGAGTGAAATGAGAACGAGGTGAACCTAGTTCTGATATTAACAGTACATCAATGCCTGGATTGTGGTGGTTTGTAAAAAGTCTACCAGAGTGAGTTTTTTTGTTACCAAGAGATGGCACTCTGTTCCCTTCTTATCTGGTATTCCTCCCCGTATTTCCTTCATCACAGTATTTAATACACATTGAAATAGGAACATGTATTGTTTTTTTCTTGACCGTTTTAAGCAATGCAGTTTAATAAAAATGTAAAATCTTCAACCTTCAGCTTTTTAATAAAGAAAAAAACTACATATTCTTCCTACTTATACATATACCATACATTTCATCCATAAACTGCTGCATAAAATTTAACTGTGGTGGAGATCTGCTTTGACTGACCTGTAGTAAGGAGCCAGCCCACGCAGAATGGTGTGTCGGTCAGAGAAGTCACCGTCCTCTGGAGTGAACACAGTGCTGGTGATTCGGAGTTGGACTGGATCTCTTTGATACACAGTGTAACTCACAATGTCTCCATTAGGACGGGCTGGAGTACTCCAATCTACTCTCAACTGTAAACACAGACAGCATAAAAAACTTTTAAACAACCATTTAGAGACAGTAGGAAGATAAGCCTTTGTGATGTCATGATCCAGCTGTTACTTATTAGGACTGAATATATGGATGACTCACCTGGCTTGGTCCCAGAGGTGTCAGTGTGGGAAGACCGACACCTGAAGGAGCTGACGGGTGAGTCTTTGCTGTGGCTGCTGTGCTGCTCGCTGCCCCTTTGCTGTTGTTGGCTCTGACAACGTAGCTGTATTCTACACTTGGCAACAGTGTGAAGTCGTGGTAATGGGCCTCAGTGCCAACATAGATAACTTCGCCATCTCTGCGGATTTCATAACCTGTGATGATGCCATTCGGGTGCTCCGGTGGTCTCCAGCTCACCTCCACTGACTCTGGGCCAGTGACCTTCAAGGGAAAGGTCAAAGGTCACATCAAACAGAGCTACAAGGAGCATTACACATTTTAAAACTCAACAAATCTCCCCCAAATAATATAAATGGTATAATAAAAATGATTCTACTGATTATCAAATAATTAGTGTTGATGAGGTTTTGCAAAGTTTTGCAAGAGGCTAAGTTCTATTGAATTATCTTGGATGAACGGTGAAATGTTTCACTGGAAGTCTAAGATAAACAAACACACCTTAAGAGTTGGGACGGGCAGGCCAGTGGGAGGAGCCTCCTCAGTCACTATGGACATTGTGGCGCTGGCGGTGCACCCACCGCTGGTACAAGCCAAAAGGACCAGATGATATGACGTGTGTGGCCGCAGATCTGACAACACTGTATTTAGTTCTCTCCCGCGATAAGTTTCTTCGTTGTTCAATTTCAGCACATATTCAGTCACCTCTCCATTCTGCGTCAGCGGTTTACTCCAGGAAACGTTCAAACTATTGGATGTGATGCTGTCCGCTGTGGGAGCTTCCACTGTGGCAGGTGGAGCCTCTAGAGTAGTGATGTTTCTATAAAGGCTGGTTATGCATCCCTCAGACGTGCAGGCTATGATTGAGTAGCTGCAGAAAAGAATAGAAAAGAATGAAAAGTATAATCATCTCTATCAAGAGAGTTAGTTAATTTGAGAAAACACAATGGTGTGAGTAAAGGGAAGCAATACCTATATGTTGAAAATGGCAGGAGGTCTTCGTCCATGTAGCTGAGGACAATAGGGTCAAAACTAAATGAGAAACTGACATTGTTTCTCTGAATCCTGTAGGACTGAAGTATCCCGTTGGGCTCCAAAGGAGGGGTCCAAGACACCAACACCTCACTGGGCTGGCCTTGGAGGTGACTCACTTTTGGGGGAGCTAGACCACGAGGAGGGGCCTGTTTGGTTGTCACAGTTACCCAGGGGCTGCGGGTGTGTCCAGCAGGGTTGTGAGTCCGGACACTGAACTGGTACTGTGTCCAGGGACGTAGACCAGTCACTGTATACGAGACGGAGTCAGCATGTTGTGGGGATGATTCTCTGAACAGCACCTGTTGTGGATAATAAAGGTTGTTGAGTTGTACTGTAGGAACACAATTCTTATTTGATGACCCCCATTGACATGGATAGAAGTGGCAGCTTGGTATTCAATCAGGATAATGACAAATGGTGAAACTGACAAGGAACTTTAAAGTAACTGCCTGTAACTTCAGAGATGTTTTGTTTTACCTACCTTTCCGCTTTCATTATCCTCTTCTTTACTTCTTTCTCTCCCCTCTTCCTCCAAACTTCTCCCAATTAAATAATACTCTCCAATTGGCCCGTTGGGCTGAGAGGGAGGGCCCCAGGTAAGTGCCACACGGTCTGGGCCAATGAAGAGAGGCCTGGGAGGGGGCTGGAAAGCAGGTGGAGCTGCTGCTGTGGTGACATGCTGGGGTGGGGTGCGTGTGCAGCCTGCTAAGGTGCAAGCTTCAAGGATCAAAGTATACATGGTCCATGGCTCCAAACGACGAAACAGGAAGTTGCGCAACAGTCCACTGAATTCCAGGTTCCCCTCACTGTACAAGTTGTACATCTAGAAAGAAAGACATGGAAAGCAGGCAAGAGGAAAGAAGAGTATGCAGTGCAGTGGAAGAGGAGGGGAGAAAGAAAAGACTTTAGTATTGGTATCTATCCGCATCTCTGTCTTCTACTGTGTCTTCTCTTATGTGAGACTGATTTTATCTGAAGAGCTGTGTTTACACCTTGGTATGGGTTTTGTGTTTTTGTAGTGTGTATTGAATGTACCGTGATTATTCCATTTGGATCACTTGGCTGATCCCAGATAAGCAGTAACGCCCTGCCCTGCTCTCTCTGCTCCGCTGTGAAGTTAGACAGGCCAGCCGGAGAAGCCTCCAGGGTCCTAATGGCAACCCATGGACTGGACACACTACCTGAGAGTTGCAAAATATCGAGTAGTAGTTCAGTGGTTAGTGCTGATATCATCTGCTCCTGATATTTTAAATGAGTTACCGATCATAATCAACCTACCTGCTTCGTTCACAACTTCCACTCGTAGACTATACTGGCTGTACGGTTCCAGACCATAGACTGTCGCTTCTTGGACTGAACCCTGAGAGAGAAAGAGAGACACCAAGGTATGATTGTAGGGAGGAGATATGGGAGAGAAAAAAGGAACGACAAAGGAATGATTGGGCAAAAGATAAAAAGGTGAATGAAAAAAGAGCGGAGATGGAGAAGGAAAGAGCAAAGTGAGTAGCATGTCACAGCAAGAGAAGTGAGCGAGTTAGTTCCACAAACAAATCCTGCATGAATAAAAACCCGTGCATTACTCATTAAAACGGGGAATGAAAAGGAACATTGAAACAATGGCGAGCTAAGATGACATGACATGGGAATTGTGATATCAACATTGCAACATACAGGCTCTGCCATGGTAAAGTAAGTAGACACCAGAGAAGTGGGAGAGACAGAGAGACTGGCAGGCAGACGGCCGTCCCCTGTGGGTGAATTCAAAGCTTCCAGATTGAGTGTTTATGTCACACATGCACCCTTTTATATCACGCAAACACACACACACACACACACACACACACACACACACACACACACACACACACACAAAGACACAGGCGGAGTGAGTCTGCCAGTAGCTTTAGGCAGTGGGACCCAGCCCAACACCCTGGCAGACACAGGGGCAGTGTGTGTATGTGTGTGTCTGTGATACAGTGGGAACACCATTTACTAATTGATAAGAGACACACTGTTGTTTCAAAAGGCCCTGGCGTGCGATGACATGGTAGTCAGGGAGCACTAGGCTCCAGGACTGCCTGTTTGTTTATGACTGTGAGCTTTAAAGTCGCTATGAGAGTGATGTTTCTGTGTGTGAGTGTGTCTGTGTGAATATATTTGTTTGATTGCACAACATAGGAGGCTGTATTTTGTCATGTGTTGAGTCTGCAGTTTGAAAAAAAAAAAAAAAAAAAAAAATGTCTGTTCAGGATTGTATGCTTTCAGTTAAGCAAGCATATGTAAAGAGATTAACTGGTAACCCACTTCAATGCAGCAGCAAGAGGATCAAAAAAGCTCCAATTCAAGCTGAATCAAATGAAAACCCTGACAAATCACCATAGCCTGGCACCAAGAATGAACTGTCTGAACAAAAACCAGAATGCATGTATTCACTGTTTTCATGTCTGGGAGCCAACGTGTTTTTCATCCACAGTAAAATAGGATTAATAAGCCCCTAGACACCTAGACACAAGCTAAATCCTCCTGCAAATCACTGCACTTCTCAGTAGAGAGAGAGAGAGAGAGAGAGAGAGAGAGAGAGAGAGGAGGCGGTAGAAGTAAGAAATAAAGGTCGAAAGAAAAAAGAGATCGGAATGAAATGAAGTATACATAAGTAAGGCGATGTAGGACAGACAATTAGAAAAGAGGGATAAAAAAAGAGAAAGAGGTGAGTAAGTTAATAACTGATGAGGGAAATAAAAAAAGGGAAGCAGGAGGAGGGGGGAGTGTGAGAAAGTCTACGACAGAGAGATTGAGTGAATTGGTAAAAAAAAAAAAGCTGGAAGAAAGCTAAAGTGGGAGAGAAAAAAAAGATAGATGTGGCAAAAGGGAGAGACAGATTAAGTGAGCGAGAATGAGAGATCTCTCTACCTTAAAAGCCAGTGAAATATGTGAGGCATGTGGCCTATAAAGCAGTTAACATATGCACATTGTCAATAGCAGCATCTGGCGCTGGCAGCTTTTATAGGAGCATGGAGACTCTGCTTCAGGCCTCTAGATGGCAATACATTCAAACACTTTATCACTGAAACACACCACATTAACGGCCTTCTAACACTCACTCAACACACACACACACACACACACACACACACACACACACACACACAC